TTGCTCTATTCAGTGCATTAGTCTGTAAAGCATGTAAGCAAATAGTCAAATAACAGCAAGCTGATCTAAAGGTAAATTATCGATGAGCCAGATCCTCAGTGAGGGTAAAGAGACATAGCTCCATTGACGTCAATCATAGCTGGTTGAAAAGTTTTCAACAACAGTTTTCCCATTAAAACTGTAGTTTCATCAAAATAGAAATGTTTTGTGGGAATGTTGCTATTTTAATTAAATTTTGAATGGGAAAAAGTCAAGATGTTTAGTTTCAAGAATGTTGCAAATGTTTCATTTCAACTTTATCATTTTGACTTTTATAATGTAATATTAACATTAATATTTTAATATCTTTATATTTCAGCTGTCCAGAGGATGACAATTCCTTTTTGTGACAAATTTCAAGGTTTCAGAATTTGTTTTCATTCCATATGAAACACAAGCAAAACCTTTTGAACATTTTCATGAAACAGAATTATGTTAAAACATGATTTTTTTTGGATCCAAAAGGTAGGTTTTCACTCTCTCACTCCTTCTCCCTTTCTCTCCACAACCAGAGAGTCAATCCCGAACCTCAAAAATCCTCCTGTTGAAAACTTTGTTGAAACTGATACATCTCCCTGAGACATTTCAAATTTGATGAAGCAGCATATTTTATCAAAAATGTTCCAACCAGATCTAATTCATAAATATTAGATATCATATATTAATATAATATAAACATCAAAATGTTTCAATGGTCCCAAACTGAAATTTTTTGGAATTTTCATCTTGTGGGAAATTTTGAAATTTCAGCATTTTTTTGTTCTAATTCAGAATGATCTTTTTTTCCTCAAAAATGTTGGCATTTTACCACAGAATGGAAATTCCAGTTCCCAGCCAGCTCTGCAGACAGAGAAGCTACATTGATCTACACCAGCTGAGACTCAGGCTCATAATGTAGTTATCTAATATTTAGTAAATATGGTGGAAGGGAAGCGACTGGTGTTATACTTGGGGGCAGGGAGTGGTAGTACGAAAGAATTGTACATTCTGAAACTATACCTAAGATGTACTTTTTAAAAAAAATACAAGTCTTGTTTTGCTTTAGAGATGACTGTTATTAGTGACAGAACTTGGAAGTGTCCTAAATTTTCCCAGCACATTTGGATAAAAATGAGCATACACTATGTGTAAGCCAACATCAATGACTAAAAATGGGAGATCTTTGAAAGAAACTTAAAACATAATTATAATAGGTATAAAAGCTGCAACATACCCAGAAACCACTCTGTCATCCCTAATCTACAGCATCATTATGAAGTGCCTGCAGCAACACATCATTGTGGTGTACCAACTTGGCCAACCAGTCAGTGGAGGCAGCGAGAAGATACGCATTCCCACAGCCCTCTGTCAGAAGAAAGAATGATTCTCAGAGGGCTGAAATCCTTCAGCCACCCCAGAAAGGGAAGTTTCTCTTACAGAGCAAAAATGCATCACTGGCCTAGAGAAGACACTGGAAAAGAGTCTCCGGTAAAGGGCCTAATTATTAATCAGAACTAAGATATGATACTGAAAACTCCTAAGGTGAAATACTTCCATTATGAGTAAGAGCAGCAGCAGTGGAGGGAAAGGGGCAGTGCTGGCTGTGAGCTGCATCCCACAGACATTCTGCCAGTACAAGCTCCTATGTGGACAGTCTCCTACAGTGCCTTACTGCCCATTTCACAGGTAGGAGCGAGCACCACAAACTACAGCAAATGCATTCAGGAACAGAGGATCTGAACCCATCCTAAAGCCACCAGAACATACCTGCCTGTGGCAGCGATGTATCAGCCAGGCAGTAGATGCCCCCAAACCTAGCGCTCCTGAGGAAATTATAATCCTAACCTGTTGCTGCATAAATGGAAAGAGTCCCTAAAACACAGTCCTTTGTTATCATAACAGAGCAACAAAAGACACTGTTTTGCCATAAGGCAAGAACTGGACTTTTGATATTATTAATTACATTATTGTATATATCTACATATGCAGCTGCCTAGCTGTTTAACTATTTGAGCACAAAAATGCTGTACATGACCTAGTGTTGTGAGTCTCTAATGAGCCTTTTCATATAATCATAGAAGATTAGGGTCGGAAGAGACCTCAGGAGGTCATCTAGTCCAACCCCCTGCTCAAAGCAGGACCAACACCAACTAAATCATCCCAGCCAGGGCTTTGTCAAGCCAGGCCTTAAAAACCTCTAAGGATGGAGATTCCACCACCTCCCTAGGTAACCCATTCCAGTGCTTCACCACCCTCCTAGTGAAATAGTGTTTCCTAATATCCAACCTAGACCTCCCCCACTGCAACTTGAGACCATTGCTCCTTGTTCTATCATCTGCCACCACTGAGAACAGCCAAGCTCCATCCTCTTTGGACCCCCCCTTCAGGTAATTGAAGACTGCTATCAAATCCTCCCTTACTCTTCTCTTCTGCAGACTAAACATAGAATCATAGAATATCAGGGTTGGAAGGGACCTCAGGAGGTCATCTAGTCCAACCCCCTGCTCAAAGCAGGATCAATACCCAACTAAACAAGCCCAGTTCCCTCAGCCTCTCCTCGTAAGTCATGTGCCCCAGCCCCATGATTATTTTCGTTGCCCTCTGCTGGACTCTCTCCAATTTGTTCACATCCTTTCTGTAGTGGGGGGGCCCAAATTCCTCCTAATTCTTAGAGAATTCCAGCTTCAACTTTTTTTGGTTTCAGGCGGAGATTTCTAAAGCCATATAGGGGATTTGGATGCTCAATTCCCATCACCTCTCCCCCACCCCCACCCCGCACCCCTGAATATCTTTGTAATGGCTTGGCTATTTGCTCAGTTAACTGGTTACCAAAACATTTCAACTGAATAGAAAAGAAATTACTTTCCATCTGACTGTCATCAAAATGTCCCTCCTGCAGCCACCCTCATGCTGAACACACTTATCAAAATGTCACCTAAATAAAACAATTCCTTCCTTCTACATATTAGAGTCTCTTCTTCCTTTGTAACTGCGCTCTTTTATGCGCCACGGTATTAAAACAGCTTTCTTGTCTATCAGTTAGACTAAACATTTTCACAGTTTAAGTCTGAGATCCATTTCTGCAGAAAGAGAGGAAGCTAAAGGAACATGCCCTGGTACGTGTAGGAAAAATAATAGAAAGCAGAGATGTAAAAGACCAGCTGTTTGAGGTCACGCAAGCCTTCTGCCTGCCAGTCCATGCCTGTTCCCTCTGGTATAATTAAAAGTGTTTTGTATAGTCGTACAAAGTAACTCCCCACTGATAGGGCTTTCACCCGCTCCCTATGGGGTGATTACTCTGCAATCCAATAGATCTGATTATCAGGACATTTTTCCTGAGAGTCAACTTAAACTCACCTTTGCTCAATTGCATCCCACTCATTGTGCCTCCTAAACTATTTCTGTATCTCTTGGTGTACATGCTTCAAATACAGGTGGACGTTTATTGCTTCATTCCTCCCTCCGCCCTCCCATCTCCACCACCACCTCTCCACACTTTTAGTTCAGTTCTTTTCATCTTCCCTCTAAAGCCAGGCCTTCCAGACCCTTAATAGTTTTGTCTTCTTTCTATGAATCCTCTCCTGTTCCTCAATATCTTTCTGTTACTGAAGTACTCCATGCATTATTCCATGTGCAATCTCACCAGTGCCAGATGGCTTCTCTAATCTGTGAAGCGATGCCTCTGTTGCATATTTAGCAGAGACTTGTTCTGGCTTTTAAGGCACAATATGGTATTGCGAATTCTCATCTAATTGGTTACCCATCATCACCCTTTGGTCTTTTCCAGTATGACTGCTTTCAACATTTCTTCCTCCCACTTGATATCTGTCTTGGGGATTGTTATTTCCAGAGGTGTTAGTTTTCACTTTTCCAGATGAATTCCATTCTGTTATATGCTGCCTATGTTTCTAAATTCTGTAGTTGTCTTTGTTTTATTTCCCTGTCATCACTGATGCTTGCAACACCTTCCAATTTAAGACTAAATTCACATCTTGGATGCTGTGTGCCCATCCCCCTATTAAAATTCACCCAAGCCTTGCAACTGAGGTTCAGAATTTGGCATTGGTCTCATCTGTGAATTTAATGCAGCAAAGGTCTATATAGTCTAATATGGAATACAATGTTCAGGAGAAAACATAGCTTGCACTTTCTCACCCAAAACAGAACTGGCAAAATGCAAGGGGCCTGATTCTCCATTGCCTGCACCTTGTATAGACAATTATACCAGTGCAAGGTGGATGTAAAATGTTCCCTGAAACAGGGTCGGCCTGGGGTGGCTCTGTGGTGCCCTCCCTCCATTTCCCCTTCACTCACACTCCTCAGTAACTTCCACAAGGCGTGTATCCAATAACACCCCCCTTTTTGGGGTTTGGTCTATTAACATAAAATAAACTGAAAAACGAAGTCTCTTTCACCCCAGTCTCACGGTGGGCATAGCCCCTCCACCCTGACATCCATCTTCCTATTTTCCCAGCACTTCTGAGCCTGAAGTTTGAACTTCTTTGCCTTCTCCACAGGCCTCCTTCCCCACTGGTGTCTTCACCTTGCTGACTCAGGGACCTGTTTACATCTGCCAGCAACCATCTGCAGCATCTTATCTCTCCAGGTCTCTTCCTTATCTACTGCAGGCCTGATTGGATCACTTGACCCACTGGTCACATGACCTTCATTCGCCTCACCTGGGAAGGTGTTACATTTGTCACAGGTAGACTGAGACCCCTCTTTCCTTATGGGGCCAGCTACCCTGTGACACTACTGTTTTGATTTGATAGCAATTTACACCCACTTTGCACAGGTGTAAATGATATCACGCAACACAGGGTAAGAGAATCAAGCCCCACACATTTACAGGTTTCCTTTTCAGAGTAGGAAAGTCTTCTCACTTTCCTCCTCTCCAATCTAAGTACCCTTAGTTTTCACATGTATTCTGAGACTGCAAGTCCTGTAGTGCCGCAGAGGACACAGAGCATTTTCAGTCTTACCTTTCCAGTTGACTTTGTTCCTTTCCAAATGCAAAAGTAGCAGATAGTCCAAGCAGCGAGGAGACACAATGCCAAATCCCAGCGGAGATTCCCAATATGTTCAATTCCATCGGATATGGCTAACACCCTGCGTCTACAAAAAATTGTGATAGTGAAATGCTAGAATATTAGCAAAACTATGAACAAAATAATTATACAGCATTTGGGTAAAAGGAAAGCTGCTTTAATTCGACACAGAACTGGCAACTGCCTACTGAGAATGCACCATGCTGAGAAAGAAGGGCTTAGAAACAGTAAGTGCAATGTGATTCCTACCTCTCATTGCTGTTGTTATTATTATATGTATTACAGTAGCACCAATTGGCCCCAACCGAGACCAAGCCCCGTTGTGTCAGGCACTGTTCAAACATAGCAATAGACAGTTTCTGCCCGGAACAGCTTCCAATCTAAATAGTCATTTCAGACAAAGGGTGGGAGAAAGGCAGTATAGTTTTTCACATTTGTAGATGGGGAACTGAAAGAAAGCTAGTGGCTTGCCCAAGTTCATACAGGAAATCTGTGGCACAGCCACAAATTGAATCCAAGTCTCCTGAATCTCAGTGCAGTACTTTAGCCACAGGACCAAGCTCCCCAACTTTAGAATTATTTTCTTGTCTTGGGCATGCAGCTGCCATTTTTACGTGCTTTGATTTTTAGTAGGAAACAATAATGGAGTCACAAATAATATCAATTCTCTGTTCACCAGCCCCCCCCCCCCCCATACCCTGTAAATAAAACATAACACTCTGTGATACATTGACTAAAGAGGTTACGAGTAGGAACACACATTTCTTTCTGCACAACTGATCCATTTCATGAATCCCTTTAAGAGATTTCATCTCCTTTTAATATTAAGAGAGTGTCTATGGGGAATTAAAAGACATTTCTAAAGGAAGCTGAATTTACCAGAGCAGTGAAGGCTGACTCTGTCAGTGTCTGAAGTCAGCAGTTGAGGTTGATTTAAAATGGCATTTTGTATTAATTACATATCCATAGATACCAAAGTGCTTAGTGAACTTTAAACTGCTTCTAGCAAGTAATTAGCCATATGCCCAACTGCATACTGCAGAATAATTACTCTGAACCACTTAGGTCCCTTTTCACCCTTTTATTAAGCTTCCATTGATTCTGGTCACAGAAACAACATGGGGTTCTGCAGCCAGGCATATGTGATGTAAAACTGGAGTGATACATGAGTATCAGGCCCAGGGAGATCAATCCTTATTCAGATTAAATCTGCCAAGTGAGAAAGAATGGACTAGTTCATTTTTCCTTCTATGTATACCTTTCATCTCCTGCCTTAAAACTTCTATGCATTTTATTGAACAAAGCTTCCTTCGGGATCTGCATTCAGTGTTATCTGCAATCTTAGAGACACAGCACTAACCTACCTCTCAGTGGCACTTTGAAGATTAATTAATTTAAAGTTCATAAATACTCTCATTTCCCGTGGTTAAAGACACTAGATTCAATGTATCATTATTAATTTTTTATTACTGTCGGTCTATGTGTGCTGATAGGTCCTGGTTGTCGGCAGTTGAGATCGAAGCTGGGACCTCTGAAACTTAGCGTATGAGTCTCTACTGCATGAGCTAAAAGTCACATGGCTCTTAGCTAAGGCTGGAGCAGACTCAGCAATTGCTAGCTGGGCTAGGTGCCACTAGAGAGGGACAGAGCACCACACCAAGCTGGCATGGGTTACATATGTGCACTCAGATAACTTTGGATATGCTTTCCTAAAGCCAAATATTTTACATTATATAACTTTATTGCTTTTTTAAAAAATCTACATTAAAAACCTTCATTCTGCTCCCTGGTGCATCCAACCCAGTACTGAGTGAGGCAGAGGTCTTGAGGGAGGGAAACCTGTGATCATGTAATTAAGGACTGTATCATAATGCATATGAACAAGCAGGCCGAATTAAGGTTGCACAGACAAATAAATAATGTTTAACATAGTTTTATTTTAAATATAATTTCCTATTTTTAAAGGAAAAAGGTTTAAAAAAAAGACTTTCTGTACAACTAACAACCTCTGCATCATGCATCATCATCAGGGTTTGAACCCTGATCATTGACCACCATTGCACAGACTGCTACAATTTTAGCTGAAGGTTTAAGTACATTAGCTGACAGCAGGAGAAGGCTGTTATCCCTGAGAGATGGCCCACTCATGCCATGCACTGCATCCAGGTGGTGATTGGGGAGAACCTGACCCAGCTCTCTCTCTTTCCCCCACACAATAGATGGCAGGCTCCTTCCCCATGTGGTACTTCTGCTCCCCCCTTCCCATCCCCACCCTCAAAGGTGGGAGACAAGATGTTGGAGCCATGAACTGGGTCAGCTTGGGAAGACAAAAGCCTGTCTAAGATCTCACCCATTCCACCCCTCACACTGTTGCAACAGCTGTTTCTGCAGCTTGCACGTGTTCCAAGTTCACTGTTATACTGCTGTTACTGCTTTGATGGAGGCGTGGACCTGGCTTCTTAGAATGCTCCTATTTATTTATTTTGGTGCACTAACAAAATTTTCCTGAGAAACCCAAGAGAGAAAAGGGAAATGGTAATTTTTAACCATTTTTTAATTCAGCTAAGCCTTTAATTCAGCTAAACCTGGATAGAGTCTTATGGGTCAAAGAAAAGTAACTTTGCTAGGGCTTTCTTCCTGCTGAATGTCAAAGTCCTGCTGAAAACAAAGGAGATGTTAGAGCTTCATAAAAAGTTGCAAGAATCTTTCATAATGGGAAGTATTAGGAGGGGTGAAAGTAATATTAAATTCTTACCGGTACAGGGGCCGAAGGGGCGGGGCCTGGGGTGGAAGGGGCAGGGTTGGGGGTCAACCTCCCCTGGCCTCTGCTGCCTGGAGCTCTGGCAGCGATTTAAAAGGGTGCAGGGCTCTGGCCTCTGCCACAGTAGCGGCGGCGGCAGCCAGGAGCCCTGTCGGTGGCCTGGGGGGCAAAAGTGGCAATGACAGTAAAGCACTGCATCGTTGTCCCTTTTGTCTCCCCCGGCAGCCCTCTCCCACACTGGCCCAATTTCACCCCTGAGTGTTAAGCTACCAAAATAGGGATCACTACCAGCTCTCTCTTTCTCTCTCAAAAGAAGCAGTACTTGATGAAGGATGTGTTTCAGTCAAAGAGAGAAGGATGAAGTCAAGAGCAAGAACAGAGGAAAGGTTTTGAATTTATCAGCACACTGGAACTGAAAATGAGGCCAATGCTCCATGCCTCTAGAGCAAGGTCTACGTTCTGATTAAAGGCCAGTTTAAAGTATCCGGTTATCAACTGGAGAAGAACAGCTGTGGTGCATGCTGCATTAGGTCCAGTATGACTTCCAGCCTTGTCTCCTAATCCTCCTCTTAAACAAACAAACAAAAAACAAAAAACACAACCCAGGAGTGTGACCTTAAAAATCAATGCATCATTTTACAGGTAGCCAAGCGGAAGATGGGTATAGCATCATCACATCCCAAGCAATGATCAAATATCTGCTGCATTCTGACATACTTCACGCTATGAATAAACATGCAGAAAATTATGCTAAAAGGGAATGTAGCCTCATGATCAAAGAGGCTTCTGTTGCCGTTGCAGGGTTTCACATGATATATAAGAGTGAGACCTAAAAAAGTTATGCAAATGAGGGAGGAAGCCTCCAAAGTATATTTGACATATTCCTTTTCCTGGAGAAGGGATGGACCATAGTGATACTAAACATTCTTAACTTTGCCCATTGCCTTCATCCAGAGCCCCCTCATATCAACAATCCCTGTCCCTCCAGCTAGACTGCTACTCTCCCAGGGTTGAGGAGGAAGTAGCTCTGACACATCCAGCTGGTAATATCAATCAAACATTCCTCCAGACCAGACACTGAATTTGCAATGCCCCAAGCCAAGAGCTACACAGCACACGGACACTGCTCTGCCATGTGTTTAAAAATGATCTAGCCAAGGAGCCTACTCTGTAGTATACACTGAATAACATGGGAGATGGGTTAGTTCCTTGAGAAATGGTGTGCTATGACACACAGTTGTACGTGACCCACAACATTCTGGTTATGACTGGAATTCACTGCTTGGACCAGCCTTGGATGAAACAAAGAATCATCTGTGTCATCATGCTACTGCAATGACTCTTCCTCCACATCCATCTCAATTATCCTTCTGTATCATTTGTATTGTGGTAGAACCTAGGGACACTCATAGACCAGGACCCCACTCTGTTAGGCACTGTACAAACATATAACAAAGGGCATTTACAAGCTAACTGATCCCAACATTTCTTACAACTTTTTCAAATTTAGTAAAAATGTTATTGAAAAATAAATTTGAAAGGACTCAATAGCCTGGGCTTGATCTTGCTGTGGTTGCATGTGTCCACGCTCATTGTAGTCAGTTGGAGCCCTATGGAACAATTTCAAACCTGATGTGGGAGAAAAGCACCACTGGAGTTGCTATCTCTCACTCTAAGTCTGCATTTGGCTTATTAAGTGAGTTTAATCCTGCAATTTTTGCTCTTTTGTGTTTTTCTCAAAACAGAAAATCCAGATCTCAAATGTATCAATTTGAGCAACAAATCAAAGCAATTCCTCAAAATTAAATTGCTCTTTAACTCTGAAGCTTCTTTTTTAGCACATTTTTAAATTAATTATACCTATTCTGTATTTCCATGGCCAAACGTCCACATGCTAGAAGGTGATTTTTTATTGCACACAAAATCCGTGGTCATGAAATACAGAGGCAGTGTTAGTCCCTTAAGGGCACTAAGCAGGAATTTTCCCTTATCCCTCACCCACTACCTAAAATACTAATTGCATTGATTCCACAAACCAAAAGATATACCAACCCAAGACATACTAATACACTTGTTAACAAGTCCACATTAAATCAGATGAACAGTATTTTGGGGGGGATATTAATTGGGAGCCACTTCAGCTGTTTGGGGCCCTAAGAAATTGCTTGCTCTGCTTATGCCTAGCAACACCACTGGTGAAATAACTGCTGCACTGAGGGAAGGATTTTCAAAAAGTAGCTAGTTTTGGGTCCTCAATTTGACACATTTTAAAGGGGTTGTTTTCAGAGGGTTGGTATTCGGCACTT